CGCTTCTTACACCCCCCAGACAGGCCCGAGGCGTCATGCTGTTCTGCGCTCTCTTTAATTACACCCCGAAACCGGGACGCGTGACGTATTGCCGTGTGGCGAAAGGGACAAAAAAGCGCGACCTCGACTTCAAGCTAGAATCGCTGATCTGCACCTCGGTCGTTAATCAACGCCTCGATCGGCGATACTTAATGTTTCCAGAATATATTTTATGTATATAAATAAGAATTTTATGTGTGTAAATAAGAATTATCAAGAAATTTCAACCGTGCAGTCTTATATTTCCTTAGTTTTTATATAGTTTATATATCTACAACTGACTTACAATAAATTTTCCAAAATAAATTTGTAACAATTGCGTCTCTCATAAAACAATTTTAAACCTCATTGTTTACAGATAAAACATTTTAAAAGCAATCTTAAATATTTTACCAAAAGTTTTACTTACTGAGACTTGAATATAAGTTTTTTCTTGGAAAGTTGTGTTCGAAATTTGTTGATTTGCTGAAATTTTAGAAAGAACATGAAGGATTTATTGGAAGAAAGTAAAGTCCAACGATGGAGGGGCCACTTAAAGCGTTGGCCCGGTCAGTGCTAAATATTTGATCAGAATTCGACTGGAATTGGTTTAAGACGTCAGTCAGTAAGCGAGGGTATGCTCATGGGACGAACGAAGAAAAAATAGGAAGGAAGGAGAAGAAAGTGACGAATGGACGGACAGTTAGTAGTTATACGACGGAGTATTCCCTCGAGCTGAACGGCAAAATGATGTCCAACCAAACAGCTCAGCTGTCTCGGTCACAGCATTCTTCTCTTACTATATCAACGATCTGAATTCACTTTAAAATCTTCTCTGTCTCTCTCACTTATTCTCGCTCCCTCTTTTTCTCGCCGAGCTATAGAAAGCGAATAATAACGGCATCTCGAAGCAGTCCAGATATAAAGCCAATTCCGATGCTGTTAGTTTCAGACGAGATTTATAGAGATGACGCAACTTAAGAGGGACACTACTCACGTCGATAACAAAAAGTACGTTAATTGTAAAACATGTATCTAAACTCATCATTTTATTTAACATGTCGCAAGGATAAAGTAGGGCAGCGATAGTTAAAATATTGACTTTTAAATAAACTTGAATAGTTCTTGTTAACACAATATTTCAACATCTTGAGTGCAATTTAGCCGCGATATATATAAGCCATGTAACTTTCTTCGTTATAACAATAAAGTCTGTACCTATTGCCGTTTTCATGCGCGAGTCGTTAGCGGCAGCAAACGAGGGAGGCACAAAGGTCGAATCGCAAAATTCATGCGAATCCACGTGGTGCCAAGTGGGGTGCATTAGCCAAGTTCCCCATTATCCACGCGTGAGAGACCCCTAAATTATCCGGCGCTCGCCTAGCGCCGATCTCGCCCACCCTCGCACGTTAGTGAGAAAAAGACGTATGACTGCCTTTTCTCGGGAATACTCCCCGACAGGCTTCGGGGTGAAGTTACTAACGCGTGATTTTCTCAATTGCAAAAGAACTTCGTTACATATCAATATATTTACGAGAAGTATGTTCAGATTGTCGTCATTTTCGTCAAGTCTTGTTTATTGCCTGTAAATTTTCTTTCACAATTTACTTTTTCGATTACGTCATTAATCTGGTAGATTGATATTGAGAGATGTTACAATACTTTCTGACTAAAGTACATACTATCAATATCTTAGGAGTGTAGCTAATCTGATTCATTATATCTTCAATATAACAGCTAAAGGATTGTCGTCGGTAGTTTGCCTAATTTGGATTTAAAAAGAATATCATGATGAAAGATATTGAGTAGAAAGTTAAAAAATGGAGAAGAAAAAGAAGCGGATTGAGAAGAATGAGAGAGAGAGAGAGAGAGAAGAAATAAGAGAGGGAGAGGGAGGGGAGAGAGAGAGAGAGAAGAAAGAGATTTGTATGTATCTATACATGTGATGGAATAAGTATGATCGAGAAGGGTGATAGAATAAGACAACGGCAGAAGACAGCGAGACATTGAGAAGAAAGGGGAGAGTTAGAGGAAGAAAGCGAGAGAGAGAAAGAGAAGATGAGAGACAGAATCCGAAGAACCGCCAGGAAGATAGAGAACACAAGTTTGGGCTATCTCTCCGAGCACAGTTCCAAGGAGCTTCCTTTAGACTTTAGTGACGTGACGTCGCCTAATACCCTAATCCTTGCAATGGAGGCACCATCGTCCGCCTCGCGTCGTCATGTTCTGTTTAACCATCTTCTTATGACTGTGTGTGCACCACGGTTATAAATTATTAATTAATTAAAGAGTACACACACACACACACACACACACACACACACACACACACACATTTTTTTTAATTACTTGCATCTACCTTAAAAAATCTAATAAATCTTCCTCGACGTATTGAACAGTATAAATTACTGAGAGATTCAGCTATACTTAAAGATATTAGAAACTGTCTACTACATGTGTGACTTAATTACAATCAGTATAAATTAACGTATTGAAACACCCACATTACATTTACTGTTAAAATTTTCTTTTATAAGCCTTTTATTTAACTTGTATAAATAAAATTAAATTTTTGTAGGTATATCGAAAAAATATACGTTGATGGTGTAATTTTATCCTTAATATAACTTTTTACATCGTGACATAATAAAGTTTTGGATTAAAACATGATGACGTAATCAGAATTTCTCATAGCGCAAACAGGAGAACGTTATATTATATAATATGCAAAGATTAAAGAATATTTGATACCTCGAGATATATTAAAGATGTTTATAATAACGTCTGATAGAGATTTCGACGGTATCGACGATGCTGTTTGCAAGAATTTAAGCCACATCTACCGAGCTGCTCACCCATACTAAGAAACCGTAAGGGATAACATATAATTAGTGTAAACCAGGGCATCAATCTCTAACTCAAAAGGCTTCTGGCTTTTTCTTGTGTTTTCGCGTTCCCTTCTTTCTCCCTTGCTCGGCTCGTCCTTACTCAGTTTCACTATCGAAGGCCAGTTTCAAGAGAGCATTGGTCCGCAAAGAAAAGTGATAATGTCTTAAGCCGTCGGTGCGATTTAACTTCTGATTTTGGACGAGGGCACTCCCGCCGTCCTCCTACCGCGGTCCATAGCAAGAGTTCGTCGCTCTAAACTCCCGGCTACACTCCCGGTGGTCTGAGGAGGGTTTAAGGTTTAAGGGAAGCTCTCTCATTCCTTGGGATCCTAGGGAGCTCCGCTAAGCGCTGACGTTGATCCTGCCTTCTTCTGCCTCCGTTACCTCCAGGAGCTCAGGTTTATCTAATTCCAGTTGTAGGTTCCTCCTATCTGTAAACCTTACGAGCGTACCAAAGGGCGAACGTTGTGCAGTTAAAGGCCTAAAGTCTTATAAGTCATCAGAAAGATTGGTAATTTACTAGTTTGAAATATAATTCGTAATTGTTAAGATATATTGCGAACATTTTTTTTGGATATCGAATTTATGCTGAATTTAATTACAACAAGTTAAGCAATATTAATAATGTTTATTATTAGTTATATAATTTACAACTTGAGAATTTTTGCAACTGTCGAACAAGTTGCATAAATGTTTTATTTTCGATGAATTTTGTGAAAGACTTAATGCACGTGCGTTAATAATTGTTTATATATTTAAAATTATGTACACTGTATTTCATCACAACATCGAATTCGTAATGACTTTCGAAGTATGTTTCAAGTTTCATTTCACACTTATCGCTTATCAGAAATTCTATACAGAGAAAAATACGAATCTGCTATAAGCAAAGTTATTTCTATTTAAACCGGCAAAAAATTTACTTTTTCTTTGAAAATTCAGCTACGTAAAGAACTCGCGAGTTGTGAAGTGAGCAGATCCGCGAGGTCGGGACCATTGTCGCTTGTACTCCTAAGATGGCAAAGAGAACCAGGTAACACGTACATACCGCGGCGCGTCAGCCCGAAGGACGGTGGGGGGTAGTAATATATATATGTCTATATATACGTATATATGTATGTAGACGCGAGTGGATATAAGCGGGAGAGGTGTACGAAGCACGTACCTCAACACACTGGGAAAGAGAGAGAATCCTCTAGGTGTGCACCCAGAAACCGCGTATCCCCTTCTACGATAACCGAGGCGGAGGTTGAGGTGAGCGAGGGGGATGTGCAGAAGGGCTGGGAATCGTGCTCCAGCCGAGCTCAAGGGGGTGGACAGTGCGCAGAACCCGCCCCCACCTTTCGCGACGAAGCAGAAGCCGTCGACTGCCCGCGCAAGTCTTCATCCCCTCTGCCGACGACGGAAGATCGCCACCCCCGAACGAACTTAAACATAGCACAGTAGCTCGCGAGCACCCCGTCTGAAAGGGCTCATCGCGTACACGAGCCGAACTTGTGTTAAGTATATATATATGTATGTATACAATATATATATACATATATATATATATAGTTATATATCTATATTGGCGGTTTGTCGAGCGCGCGTGTCCTCATTGTGTGCGTGCGCGCGTGCGTGTCACGCAGTGCTTGTCTAAATATCTCGAGTCCGCCGCAAGAACGAAGCAAGATAGAGTGCCCCGCTAGAAAAAGATAAATATCACGAAAAGAGCCGAGCGATCGTTCATCAGGACAAAGAAAAAGAGAAAGAGAAAGAGAGAAATACGGATGCCTCTCAGCTGCATAGACTGATTCTTCGAACTCGTGACTACGCAGATGTCAGGTGAACTCTCTTGAAAGACAGTCCCTTAGACTTTGAACGCGCTGTTAAGTAGATGACGAAGGGAGAAAGAAAAGTGACCTGTGGCAGGCGCTGAGGATCCTTCCCTAACGAAAGAGCCTAGATCCTGAGCGAGATGGATTACCTTTCTTGTTAGATTGCGCCGGCTTCGAAATCGACGATTTTGCACTCGTGTACTGAACGCACCCTTGCGTCTCTTGTGTCCGCATGGCAGAGCAGACTTGCTGATCCTCTGGAATTTTTGTGTTCCAGGGTGGAACTGACCAGCGTGCCGGGCGGACAGAATGCGATGGCTCATCTCAAAAAGCGGAAACTGGAAGCAGAGTCGGTCGCGCAGAATCCTAAACAAACGCAGCAGCCGTCGCAACAGTCGCAGCAGCAATTGTTGATCGGCAAGAAGGGCTTGCAGACGAGCACGTCGCAAGAGATGGAGATGACTGACGCCGCGACGAAGCGGAGGAGGAAAAGCGTTCGTGACGATGACATACGAAAGACGATCGATGTTATTGATCCTAACAAAAATATACCGTTGCCCCAGAAGAAGCGCGCATTTACAACGGGTAACTCGGGTAGTCCTGCCAGGAAATCGAGTAAGCACAGCGAAGAACCCGAAGACGATGAAACTCTCATAAGAGAAACGGAAGCCGCCTTGAAAAGTCTATCAGGTAGCTGGCCGGGACCGAGAGGATCTCTATATCAAAGAGGCAATTCAGACGAGGATAGATACGAGTCTAACTTTGAAAATCTTTTTGAGGAAAAAAAAGAAAATCCTAAATTGTCGCCCTCATCAATATCAACGTCTTCGACTACGAGTAATGACACTGGTTGTTCGTTGAAGGATGTAATAACTCTTCGCGGACAACAGGATCGATCGGGTAAGTTGCAACAGCAGAATAAGCAGCAGGATTCGAAACAACAGCATCCAACTAAAATTAAGAAAGATTTGGACAATTTACTGAAGATAGAAAATGAATGCGCGAACATTCAGTCTCAAGTCAACAACGTTAATCAAAACGAACCGCCGAAAATTAGACCAATTTCTGTTCGCTCATTGTCAAGCAAAGAGAGGAACGAGAGGAACATGGTGGGAGCACATATTGACCCTCAGGGAAGGCAATCGGACAAATATTCCAGATACGATCCACCGGACTTCAACGAATTAGTCGATGATTCGTCCAACGAACTAGAAATTGACATGTCGGATCCGGCCACTGACAAGGATGAGGGCGATCGAGATAGATCGAATGACCGAGAACGGGATCGGACGTGCAAAAATGGCCAATCACCCCAAAACATTAGCAGACAGCAGCAACACCAACAGCTTTACACGAATTATCAAAGACAATATAACGATACCAACATGAAAGTCTCATCTACGGGAACTTCATCGACACCAGCGAACTCTCCGTTTTCAGCAACATCTGCTTTTAGGCCGCCTAATACGGACCACTCAAAAGCATCCTGTCGTAGCTCTTCGGCGGTCCCAGTAGCATCTTCAGCGATTCCACCAATCGGTCCGTATCCAGCTGCCGCCACATTCGTGGGATATCCGACGCCCGGACCGACGATGCCAACACCGCAGCCTGTATCCGGTATCTCGCCCACAGCAGATGACAAGCACTCATCTACAGTGTCACTCTTACAACTGAAATCCTCGAAGGAGGAAAGTCATCATGTGACAACCCACGACGTAGCTACCAATTCTGTATCTCCCAACAAGAGTCCTGCCAGCGGTCCACCTTCCGTCACGAGTCCCGATTCTTCGAAACAATATACAATCCTTCAACCTGCGGGAGTGGGCTCCAGAGCAGCCAGTGCAATTCAGGATATCGCGAGGGAAGGAGTGGTGAGTGTTGCCGCTGTTAGCAGCTGCACCACCGCGAACAACGGCAGTGCGAGTAATGTCAACACCGCGAATGCGAACGGCAATGGGGTGGTCGGTAATAAAACTACCAACGGGAACAACGGCGCTAATGACAGCAACAGTACTACGAATCCTGCCGGGAATCCTAATGCAAACAGCATCACCAGCATAACCATTACAACCGTGTCGACGACCACTACTACTTCTAGTCCGACAGTCGCTGTTGATGTACCTTCGACGAACGGCCAGCAGGACAATGTCATGAAAATGCCAGAGAGACCCGGCACCTTTGATAGTACCAGACCGGGAATGTCTATGTCTCCGTCCAGTCTCGGCAGAGGTGAGAATTTCTTGTCTGTCGCGTTATGAAACAATGTGTTCCTAAATATATTCCTAAATTGATATTAATGAACCTACTACTGTTTCGGTCAATTATCATGATGGAATTACTTGTAGGCATTCTTTCGAATTACAAATTCGAAAAATAAAAGTTTGATTAAGAAATAAAAATAAATATGTAAAGGAGAGAAAATGTTATAGAAACTAATATTGTTAGTGATGCTAAAATTATTTTTTCAGTCAGATAAAATGACATTATCCCCTGAAAAATATTGATATTTAAATTGATATTAATATCGTCTATTATAACTACTCAATTAGAAATAGAATTTAAATCGATAAAAATAAATCAAATAAGAGAAAAATTTCTATCTTCGGTCAAGCGATGCATGATAACGTTCATATACAAATTTGTGCAAGTGAATTTTTCAGTTTTATACATAGTTACTCAATTTTCGGCTTTCTAAATACTATATTATTTCTTCGAAACGGAAGATATTTGATTATCTCGTGGTTGATTCTAATGTGGACAATTTTTACTAAATTATACATGGAAGATGTCGCTACGACGATATATTTTTCCTTGCATACCACTATTTTATATATGTTGATGTGCGTCAGTAGTCTTATAAAGAAAATATATACATTACGTATATAGGGGGAAGCAAATATAAATAACATAGCTTCAAGATTAAGATGTACCGCACTTTAAAAAGATATCAAAAGATTAATGGTGTTTTGAAATTTACGCGGAATACAAATGTGCGCATAAAAATTGGAACTCTTTAAATTATAGATGGAGATAGTAATCGTAAGTCGTGGTAGGGTTACCGCTCGTGCGTTATACGTATTACGAGAGGGGACAAAAGGCATTTTCGACTCTCTTGGTTACGCTGTTCTTCTCCCTTTCTCTCTTTATCTCTGTCTTTCTCTCTCGCTTTCTCTGTCTTGCTCTTTACAAAGTTAGGGGAGTTAGGGCAGCACGGAAAATCAATAATTACGAAGCGAGGGGTGATGACTCAAATGCTGAAATCAAGGTCTCTTCGAGCAAAATTATTCTCTGTGTCCTATGATACAGCCATTCCATACATGCTCTCATCGTTACTCTCTTATTCGTTTTTTTTTTATTATCTAAAATGTTCTGGATTTAAGGAAATATATTTTAAATTAACAGAAAGAGAGAGAGAGAGAGAGAGAGAGAGAGAGAGAGAGAGAGAAAATGTACTAGATTACTTTCGAAAGTAATAGTGCTTTAATCATACTTAAATGCCTTTAAGTTAATAAATGATCGATAAAATTGATTTGATTCGGTGGGTAGACGTGATAAATGTAATAGAGAGAAGGATGATGAGTCGTGCGATCTTTCTTCCGAGAAAACTCAAAGAGTCAAACCTCGCGCGTCATACTGTACATTCGCCATAGTGTGACAGGTGGAGGCTCGAGTGCATTCCAGGGTCTTAGGGCAGCGAAGACACGACGTGTCTAGTCGGGGAAATTTGGGGTTGATACCACGTCATACGTATAAGCCGCAGCTGTCAGCGGCTGGAAACGTGACTAGCATCCCAGCCGCTCCAAGCCACCTTATTACCACCCTGTGCCTGGCTGCCTGTCCTCATTATCCCCTTAACGTTTTCTCCGGCCGGTGGCTGCGAAGATGATCGCTTTCAAGAATTCAATCTCTCGCGTTTGATTTCACGTCTTTCATGCAACGAACGCATGAAGAATTAATTGGATAAATAACTGTGATAATTTTCAAAAATAAAAAATCTTTAAAATCTCAACTGTTTATGTAGGCTTATACACATATCGAGTATATGTATTGAGAAACTAAAATAGTTTGTTCGTTGCAAAATCTCAAATAAAATTACGCGACGTGATAAATGGGCTCGATTAAGCGCGCACTTATCAGCGTGACGGCGATACAGCCGTACAGAGTCGGTCAAGTTAAGGTTCTAATCGAAAATCTATCTTCCTTCTCTCTTTTTTGCTTTGCATTTTCCTCTTTCTCTCTCGCTCAGAGTTGCTCTTGATCTCTTCGATTTAGCGTGACGATCGCGTGCGCTGTTTTTTTTATTCGCCACACGCTCACATGCAGGCGCGTGTAAGGGCGTGTTGACACGCCATAAAACCGCTATCGGGAAATCCGTCGGCCGCAAAAACTACCCTTTCCGCGTCGAGAAAGACCGGCCGCGCGCGCACGACGAGGTCGAGTCGGCTAATAAAAAAATAAACTGCCCTGTAACTCAATTTTACGCTGCCTTTGCGACCGCACGCATAAAAAGGACCTTTACTCGCGCGCGAGGGCTCTACCCTCCCTTTAAGGGTGCCGCGCGCCTCCGTGTGTAAATACCTACTTTGTGATTGTTCCTCATGCTGTTCTCTTTTTTTAGAACCTCCGATCTTTTCCTTATCCAACGTATCCGGCATGCGATTTAACGCGGGAAAGTGCCGGAGGACTATATTACACGCATCAGGTATCCCGGGTATCCCGTACGATCGTGCAATTTTATATCGAGTCTCTCTCCCTCTCTCCCCCCCCCTTCTCTCTCCTTCTCTCTCTTTCTCTCTCCTTCTTTCTCTCTCTCCCCTCCTCCTCTCTACTGGAGATTTCTATTTAAAACCACTTACAATCTTATGCAATTAAATTTACATATACTGCAGGACTATTGTCGCTAATGCTCACACCGCACGCTGTGAAATGAGCATTTATTTTTGCCGTTAATTGAAGTTTATTTCAAAACATATTGCGCTATTCTGTCAAGAACTTGTTGTTATGCTTATCACAAGATAATGTTGTAAAAGCAAGAGACAACGTCGTATAGTCGCATGCACCAATAGGTATCTTGCATTCGCAAGGACACCTCACAACCACGATTGTCAGATCACGAATACTGTACGGCTGGGGCCCAAAGGTCCGTGCGCTGGAGATTTCATATTTCGACTGGAGACCGGCCGATTATTTCATTAAAAAAAAAAAAAAAAAAGAAAAAGGCGCAGAGTTTAATTCGTGTTTTGCGACCACTGTTATAGACTTTCTTTTCGTTATTAATATTTGACCAACATAAAGTATCAACACAATCACAGAGACCTTATTATTATTACAAGATTTATACATACAGTATGAACACAATTACAAACTTTTTTATTATTCATAAAATAAGATAAACTGCGAACATAATCACAGACTTTCTTCTTATTTTCCACGTAATTTAAATATGCAATTAATAAATACCCCACGCGAGCGAAAAACTGGAGATTTTCCCGTCTGCTGGAAACTGGAGATTGGTCCCGAAAACTGGAGTCTCCAGTCGAAATCTAAAGATCTGGCAACCGTGCTCACAACATGCGATACATCTATTTTTTTCGTTCTTTGAAAATATGAAGTTGTACCATGCAATTAACTACATAAATAACAGTGATAAGATGTATTCTTAAATATTAATGCATCGAATATTATTCAAGTTGTTCGTATACCGTGTTCACAGTAAAGTATTATAAATTTCAATCGTATTAATTACATCTTTTCGCATCTCTCTTTATCTAGCAAAATAGTAATTGATCACCGACGAAGCTAAAGTATACTGAAAATACGAAAATTTCAAGCAAACGTACAAGTAAATCCAATTTATAATCTAGAGTATGAAACGTAGGCATTATTTATTATCAACGTGCACTTCCGTTCTGGGGCTCGCGTGAATATTCATCCATTACACGTGAATACTCAATTGCGCTGATTAACGACTTTTGACGGCGAATTAATAATTAGCGACTATAGCGGGCGCTCAATTCTCCCCGATTATCTTGACGACGGCGATGATTTTTCGCGACGCCGAACGAAAGTCTCGGCGCGTGTCGCGCAAGCTGGACGAATAAAACAATCCCGGTGTTTATATACACGTCTACCCCTTCCGCGGACCCTCATGTGAAATGGCTACAAAATAACACAATTACAACGCGACCACGGACTCACCCTCGGTGACCGGCGTCCTCGTTCTCACCCCTTGTGATCCCGCTTTTTTCTCTCTTCCCACCGATTCTCGTTGCTCCATTACGGCACCGTTGTAGGGAAAGAGAAGAAGAGGATAAGATCTAAGGGGAAACAAAGAGAGAGGAGATGATGAGAAAGAACGAGAGAAGATAGGAGAAAGGTAGGAACGAAGGCAGGTCTGACCGACTCGTTACAAGTCTATTCAGACATCCGGAAAGAACAGCGCGTGTCGGTATTCATTTTGTTGACCGGAACCATTATCTGCCCCTTCGCTCGTTTTTTTCTCTTTCGTTCTCCCTCTCTCTCTCTCGTTTTCTCTCGCTTTTTCCTTTCAATCCCGAGTTTAGCCACCGACGTAGTCGGTTTAAAACCTTACGACTAATTTATTAATCCTACAAGGGCAACCGCTCGCCCTCGGTTATCCGGTAAATCTTTTTTTACCCGGCACTAATTAAAAATCAGGAAGCTTCAGCGATCCTTCCTAGAAGTAAAAATAACATCGATTTCCTCTATTGCGAATTTAGATTCGTGACGCGTTAAGTTGATGCCCCTTTCGCGTTTTTCACTACTGTAGATCCATTTTTACTCGAAAGATACAATCGAACATTCTTCGACTTTAATCTCTGAGAAACTCTGATTTCGAAACAAAATTAATCCACGAAGCTTCTTTTCAAGAAATTACGCGGGGCTTCGAACAATTCCGACGGCATGTGCCGTTCAACTTCGGAACTCGGGGAGCATCGTGGTCTGCAAATAAAGCATACCGCTAATGACGTCACGTATCGTAATCCAATTTATGGGAAGGGGGGTGGATGTGCCGCTCGTCTTAAGAAAAAGGCGAACACCTAAGTAGGGATCGACTTTTCTTTCTCCATCCATCCTTCCCGTCGATTCTCGCTCTCCTGAAACGCGAAATGACGACCTGATGAAGTTTCTCGGCGTCACGGCACTCGATTGGCCAGCTCCGACGTAGTTGGCTAAGGGATCAGGCCCGAGCGGAGGATTAGTACACGACAAAGTTTATAAAAGTGCGCTCACTTCAGGAGAACCCCCGTCAACTAAAGCTGGCCTTCTCTTAAGAGGTTCCTTCCAAGTCCCTTTTCAAATCCTCCAACACGCGTGATAAACCTATCTATGTTCTGTCGCGATCACAATATATCTGTAATGACGTCTGGCATACAAATGATCTCGCATAAAATGGCATTCTTTCGACTTTATGAATCGATAGAAAAATTTAAATTAAAATCTAAAGATCTATATTTATAATCATAAACTGTTATGGATATTTATTTCTTTTTGCAATTTTATTGCACTGTGTAATTATTATTATTACTTTATATGATTATTATTAGTTTACGGTCTGACGTAACATAGTTATAAAAAAATTAAAAATGCTTGGTGTAAAATGTCTTATGAAAGCTTTATGAAAATAATGAGTCCAATGATTAGGAACAAATTGTTATTAAATGGATGTCTCTTATGGAAGCTATAGCATGTGAATGGAACATAGTAGTACCTGATATAACTTTCAGCCACTGAAAGATGATTACACTGTCTAACGATTAGATAGAAACCTTTAGTTACATTTATCGTTCACGATTGAAATAAAGAGAACCTTGCCGATGGGTCTCATATTAACCGATTGGTACTTCTCAGGTACCTGCAGTGCACTAGAAACCTGTAATTGTTTGGTCACGCGAGGCCGCCTCGAGAATATGAACGCAATCATACGTGACGTGCACTATACCCACTATTAAGTTAGAACTAGCGCACGACAGATGGTACAATTGGTCGTTTGGGCATGCCCGTCTGGCATCGGTCATACTTTCGTGTCGCAAGAAAGGACTTAAAAAACTCTCGAAAAAATTTAGAAATTTCTGACGCGTATTATCAGCTAATGCAGATCTCTAATGGTAAGGATTGTGTGTCTTTAAATAAACCCTGACGAAAAGCATCGTATCGTGCATGTCTTTCTCTCTGCGACAACTCACTCACAAATGGAGATATTTGCAATTCGCGAGCAAAAATCCACAAACTATTATCGAGACTGAGATTTTCTTCTTACTCGGTCGAATAATACTGACGAATAGCAAATGATACGGAAAATAATAGATAGATAGGAGGAACGAAATATCACGTGACGAAACTTTTTCCCCGATCGCTGCAAGTTTCGTTCTGTCGCACGGAATGAGGTATCTATCTGTTCTTTGTTTCGCGGACAGTTGTAGGCCGGCCACATACCCCGTGCTAATCCCGAAGGCTTAGTCACGGGACAGAGAAATCCCAGAGGCTATTCACAAATGCGTAACTCGTGCGACGAGATCCAGGCTGACCACACGCAAGGCCATTTCCACCCTTCTGGACCGTCCTTTCAACTTTCACTTGGGGCCTCTCGCCACAGGATTGGGGAAACTCATCCTGAAAAATGCTACTAAATAGCATGCACACCCGACAAAACCGTACAAAAATTTTTTGGAATCTCTTTCCAAAATATATCTCTAAAGGTTGTTGCAAACAAAGAGATTAAGAGCATAATATTTATTATAAGTTGTTATTACGAAACGTGAAAAATCATATACAAGCAACATTTTTGTATTTTGAATATACAATATATTTAAAATGTATATTTATCTTTAAACATTTATTTACTTTGTAATTAATAATAGTAAAAAAATAAAACATAACTAAATGCTATACAAATGCAAGTTTTCAGAATTCAGGCACGTTAATCCTGAATTTCTTCATATTATCAAATTATATGTCAAATTTTGACGCATTGATTTGAACATATGAAATAATTATTTTAAAAATTATTGCGCAAGATATAGAGTAAACTCGAATAAGATGGCCATACGGAGAAGATGGTCATAAGCTTTTAGAATGACTACAAAAATGCTCTATTTAGCAATTATTGAAAAAATTACAGCCTATGGCTATCTTTTCTGTACGGCCATAATATCCTAGTTTACCTTAATGAAAACGATATATTATATCAATATTATTTCTGCTTATTACATTTATAAAATAATTACATATAATTTACTTTAATTCAAGTAATTTTAATCGAAAGAGGGGGACGAAATTTTTACAAATAAGATTTTAATATAAAATAGACGTGTCTCGCCATACTTGCTCGCAGTCTTTCGCCTTGGCTGTTCAACGTTCTCTATGAAGGATAACGTGATATATTGGCAAACGGGGAGTAAGCTATATTCTGGTTCGATGTGCAGAATGAAACTACGCGACGATGTCGGACACGTCGGCTGTCAGCCATTCAATAGTTAATTTCCATTCAACTGCTCACGTCGCTAGCGGTACCGTGCAAGCATACCGAAACACCATATTATTTTTCATGTACTTTCCAATGTTCTCCCATTTCTTATCACGTATTTTCATGCTTATGATACAATAGTTAATCAATATCTCTTTAGATATACAGCTATATTAATTATAAATTACTTTATTTATAAAACAATATTATTATTATTTATCAAACAATGTTTATCAAACAATATTGTTTTTTCCATATAGTATTCTTGATATTTAGAAGACATTTCATAAATACAGTGCTGGTGTAAAGTTTCTTATCTAAAACGAAAGACTCTGTAAAGCCTTTACATTACGATACTGTCGCCGCTTAAAATATTCGACGTATACGCCCAACGGAAAAAGCAGATTGCGTACGTCAATTGGTCGCAAGTGCAAGATTATGAAACCAAATGCAATAACAAAGCATTAATGCGTATTAAGCTGACGCCGTATTCCGGTCGACACGTTCCTACCGCGAAACAACACTCGTCGACAGTGTAAATATCCAATTTATTCAGAATTACTGTCCGTTTGTGTCGGGATCATCAATTTCGATGCAGAAATAACGCATTGCAGAGACAGAGTAATGCCGAGCGCTCGGTGTTATCGTATAATATATGGTTAATATCAAAATGCAACATTTCCTCTATCACATTCTCAGTTTCTTAACATTTGACTTAAAATTCATTACACCTCCATTTGCATCAATTAGCAATTATATGTAGTGCTCAATTTCCATTCTCTATTTCCTATGTAGATCTACATATTCCTATGGAATGTTGTTTGGAAATGTTATTGCATCCCCTCAAAGAAAGTGATACAAGTAAAAAATATAAAATTGTTTAGAAAAGAAGAAAGAAAATTGTATTTTAAAATTAATTATATTTGTGTAGCAATATTAAACATAAGTTAACATTATACTATACTCATTTTGATTTACTTTTACTATTTTCAATTTTTTTTTATTGGAATTCAACTTGTATTACTTTTCCTGATTGAAAGCCGAAATATTTAGAACACAGTTCGTACATAATACGAAATTCAAAAAATTTCGACTCGCATCGCTTTTTTATGGGGATATTTTGATTATAATAAGTTGATAAATAAATTGTGTGACTTTGATTTATTTTAAAGAGACAATATCTGAGTAATACACTTTGCGTACTTACGTATTAAAAATTTAATTAGCTTAAGCCTAGATTGGAGTAAGCCTTATATAGAGCTACCGTATAAGCTTAATCGCTATGCACGGCTAAAAACTAGTGTACATCGTATCTCATGAATATCTGAAATGGCATTTAATAGACTAACATCGGGCTCTGCGTGGCGATTTGATTTGTTGCAGAGGGCAACAAGTGCCCGACCCCAGGCTGCACGGGGCAGGGTCACGTGACCGGACTCTACTCTCACCACCGCAGGTAAGCAATTATCGGTAATTAACCTGTGCTCCGCACTCAGCCATGGCCGATTACACACCTACGCGGTTTTACGTGGAGAATCGAGCGAGGTGTTATATAGAAACAGATATCAATATATTGCCAATTCGCGATCAGCACAGTGAATTCTATGTACTGCTGAAATAATAAATATGCACACGTTGCGAACACACACACACAAAAAAACAGAAATAAAGACTGAAAGAAATTTTTCTCAATTTTAATATGTGCTTCGCATATCTCTTAAGAGAAAAATTAAATATATTTAAAAGCTTAAATCCTATTAATCTTAAACGTTGTTAAACAGTTTCTCTGCTTACAGCCTTTCTGGATGTCCACAGAAGGATAAATTAACTCCAGAGAGTAAGTACTCTTCTATTAAACTAATTACTTCTTATTGTAGCTAGATAGTGCATCTTCTTTTTGCGAGAGTGTCTTTTTCTTAACGAAGCAAGGAAGTGAAGAATGAATCATTGTTGTGGGTTATTTAAATTTCAAAGAAATTTCGTAATTAGTCAACCTTATCAATGTAAATAAATGTAATTTAAATTTATTTAAAAATTTTTAATTGTGATCATTCCAATAAATATCTAACATACATCTTCCAAATATCATACGTATTTTTTAAATAATGTTTGTTTTTGGGATACAACTGGAATGTTCTATCTCTAATTTGGTTCGCTTTTTCTCCAAAACCATTCTCGATCAGCCTCGTCATCCACAAAAGGCCATTGTTCCATTTCCATGCTTCCTCGCCTCATTAAACGCAACAAAAATTGTATCTTCGATACACGAAGTCAAATTAGAAAGAGAAAATAGTTATTTTTCAGCGATGAGCGCGGTGCACGCGTCGCGTATATGCGTGCTGTGTGTGTGCGTGTGCGTGTGCGTGTATATCTGTCTGTTGTATATTCTTTGCGCTTTTCCTTTGCGGGGTAGAGAGCTTTATTTATTGCGTTCCTTTTCATTTTATTATTCTCCGTTCTGTTCGTAGTTCATTATATATAGTAGAGAATTATATCACCACACTCTCGAACTTGGTTGATACTGGTCGTGCCTATGAACCCTCTGGAGAACTCGAGACACGGGCGGCGCGATGGGCCCGGCGTATGCGCACACGTCGGACACTTTACACACGGAGGACACTTGTGCGATTGAGTATAATTACGCAAAGAATTATACGGATCATCCAGCTTTTCATCGATGTGCGAGTTTCCGTAACAACAGAGATTCCATTCCCCCCTCTCTCTCTCTCTCTCTCTCTCTCTCTCTCTCTCTCTTAAATGACAAATCGAGCCGTCGCGCATAGAGCGCAACGTTCAGTCGACTACGCGTAATGCAAATATGTGCATACAATCACATAATTTTTATTTCTATTTGTGACAAGCTTGTCCCCTCGACACCTTCGTCGAGAATGCAGGATCTCCCAAGCATCTCGAGCCTGAGCGTTTGTGTTTGTTCGCTCGATCGCACGCGTACGACGAACAACCCTCGTTTTCATCGACGTAGCACACTACCTCACACAGATTGCAAGTGTTGTGTTATAATTTTCTATCGATTAATTAATTGTCTTTACTTGTGTTTCTCTCTACCCGCTCCGTATACTTAATTGTATTGTTAATTTGCGTTCCACACATGGTGTGACGCCGTATACTCCATCTTTTCTTCATTTTCCGACTACTTTACTTTATTTTTTCGTTTCCTCCATTTTATAAACGTATACCAAACGTGCGGAATTCTCTTTCTTTCTTTCTCTTCTATTCGGGTCCGTTTCGTAATTCGAAAATGACACACTTGTCGCGTTCAGGACTGTCTCTCCCTTTCTCGTATCTTCTCGGTGCCCAACGCGGATAATTATACTCAATGCATAAAGGCAGCTCGCCTTAACGATATCTTATCACATCTGCCGCGTGCGTGTGCGCCGCGTCTCTCTTTCTCTCTAATTGTGTGTACGCGCGTATGTACGAACGTGCCAAGAACGTGTGTCTGTAACCACGCCACGTGTCTCTGGGTTCTCGCAGTTCTGGCGATGCATGAGACCATATTGAAATGCCCGACGCCTGGTTGCAACGGTCGTGGTCATGTCAGCTCCAATCGGAACACACATAGGAGCCTGTCCGGATGTCCCATTGCCGCGGCCAATAAGCAGGCCGCACGCGAAGCACGACAAAAGGTTCAAGGTAAGGAGGTATGCAGGACTCTTCACCGTGCGTGTCCGCAATACCTCGGACACGAGAATCTCATTGCTGCGTCCACGCGACGAGATTAACGCTTAAATGCTACGAATAAGATGAGGCTTATAATTTTGTGCCCAAAACGTGTATCTTGCGTTTCTTTCGCAATTTATTGCGTTTGCGCGTGTCTTGATTGCATGCTTTTACTGCGATAAAATTGCAATGATAAACCTGCTCCGAATTTTTCATACGATTTTATATATTTGCGTTTACTGGTAGAAATGTAGAGAATTATGAATTGCATATTGATTACAAAATATCGTTGATAGTTGAAATAATTTTATAATTGTTTTCACTCCCATCACTCTCAGAAAGGATTTCTAATACTGAGAAAAAAAATTGTTGACGTACTTAATCTTAGCTCAACTATATACAGTATAAAATTATAACTATATCAAGATTTAAATCAACGATTTTTATTCTTAATACTCCCTCGAATAAAATAAGATCGACATCTTATCTTGAGACAAATATAACAAATATAAATTCGGGTTTATATATTGTTACGTTTAGAAGTCTATCCAATGTTATATACGTGATGCTATAGCATTATGGCAGCGATCCGAAATTTCGAGTTCCGGCCGAGCCCAGTTTTTTGTTGCCGAAAAATATAAGATTCTAACATTCTGCAAACTTCTTTCCGCAAGAATAGAATAAGACATTTCCTTTAGATCGGTATTTAATATTAAATGAAGAATATTGTGTCTAACCTAAATTCTTCTATTAAGAAAATTAATAGGATAGAGAGCATCAAGGATATCTTTATTCTAGATTTTAGAATTTTTTATTTAAGAATAAAATATTCTTCTCGGAGGAATAAATATGATTGGCATTATATCGATCTTATTTTATTCTAGATCGAGGAGTAATAACATTGAATATAGAAATATTTTCTGTAGGTGTTGAGTTAGATTTATATTTGAATTTTTACGTAGATTCTAATTCGACTCAAAGACACTCTTCAATGATCCAGTTAGACGCGCGCGCGCACAGCACACACACACACACACACACACACACACACACAAAATAATTTCAAAAATTTTATATATAATCTCTATATAATATATATAAAATGGACTATACCATTTTACAGATATCATATATGTATACATAAAAAATTGATAATTTTTGGGCAATATTCAAAGATTATAGAAATAGAATATTATGCACCACATATATTATCGAGAACAAAAATTTATTAAGCTTTTATCTTCTTAAACTGGGCCATTGTAAATATGTTACCAACCGATAATCACATACATGCTGTTTAAAACTACCTGGTACTAACGATAGTTATAGTACTTCTTATAATAATTAATAAACAAGAGTAAAATAAAAATTTACAAACATTTTTCATTACGATATTTTTTATTTTATACAATTCTTTAGTTCACGCACTTCGTTACGTCTTTATGCAAAATTTACTAAATACGCAATCTCCTGTGATAGTGCCGGGAATACCACCGGAATACATCAGCACGAATCTGTTACCCCCTTCAATGGACACGAAGAGCTATTCGCAGTACGGTTCCGCAACGCAAGACACGAAACCCGTACTAAACAGTTTGACCTACGATTACTATTCAACGAAGAACGCTGGAATTAATGTGAAACCTCCGAAAACGCCGGAGGACAACAGCACGTCGCGTCCCGCGAAGGTGCCCAAGACGGAGAATATGACTCTTAGCAGCAGTTGCTGCAACACATTATCTATGAGGAATCAAAATACGGGTGAATTGTTGGTCCCCAAGACGGAGGATGCTGCGTCTTGCAGAGTGAATTCGCCTCCACCACCACCGCCTCCTGCAGTACGACAAACATATGATTCTTACATGAGCCAAGATTCAAATTCCTCATCCATGTCATCTATGGACGCGATGGGTTCGAGACCATCCATAGGAGCGACAATCCATCATCCTAGTCAGCATCCGACACATCATGTACTGCCAATGCAGCCCGTCGCCTATCCGATGACGATGGTGGAAGATACCAGGATGAGCCATCAAATGTCCCAAAGGTCTCCTTACGAACCTAGCGCCATGATGGCCGCAGCAGCGGCCGCGGACCACCACAGAAGAGCTTTATCATCATAGATCAGCCGAACACGCGAGAGCGTACATGCATCCTGGTACCAGCAACATCGCACGACCAGTAGTGACGTATTCTAACGACATAGCTGGTAGAGGCTACGAGAATGCGGTAGTCAGTGCAGCCAATCATCGACCCTATGATCCCGGTACTACTGCGACATACGAGAGATACGATACGCAGTCTTGCGCATCTATTCCGTCTCAGCAACAGCAGCAGCAGCAGCAGCAGCAGCA